CCTACAGTGACTGTGGCCATTGTGTTAGCCACTAATGAGTGACAGAACTTTAAATTCGCACCTCTGTCTTACTGTAGTAAGTCACTAAGTTACTCGCCAATGGCGCCAGCTAGGGTAGCATCAATAATAAAAATATACAAGGTGTTAGGTAAATGGGTATATGAGCCGACACTAGCCCATGTTAACATGGTCATATAAATGGTATGGTGAAGTCAGAAAATTGATATCTCCATTTTAAGTATATTTTAATTTTTATACAAATCGGATTTTATAAAATTTATTTTGTATGAAAATTAAAAAAAAAATTATGATATCAATTTTCTGACTTCACCATACCATTTGTATGACCATGTTAACATGGGCTAGTGTCGGCTCATATACCCATTTACCTGACACCCTGTATACACGTTTGAAGCAGTTAAATCAAGAAACGCAATGGTGGTTTAAGAGCAAGTCCCACGTGTGAAGTGCTGCCGTCCGTGTGATGTACCTTCTTGGCCCAGGCCTGCGTGCCGCTGGCGAGTTCGCGCGGCGTCAGGATCTGCGCGCCCGTGGAGCCCGTGAACTGGCCCAGGCTCGTGTCGGAGCTCCAGCCGAACTGGGGGATACGTGCTTGGTTAAAAAGGTGGTTTATAGCTTATTAATAAAGCCTACGGATTAGTAAGCTAAAGTGGCAATGTGCTCTGTACATAGTACACGGAACTGACGGCCGATGGGGCAGCAAGGTTCTGGAGTGGAGGCCACGTAACGGAAAGCACAGTGTGAAACGTCCACTCACAAGGTGGACCGACGTCATCATAAAGGTAGCAGGAAGGCGCTGGACGCAGGCCGCTACCAATCGATCAACATGGACATCATTGGGGGAGTCCGGCAGTGGACGTTCTATGGCTGAAGTGATGATGATAATGATGGAGATAGCTGAAAGCTTAGATATAGTATAAATGGATGGTAAGCGTAAGAAAAGGGAGGTACTTCAAAGTAGACGACTGGCACCAAAGCGGAGAGGAGCGGAGACGAGACGTATGTTGAATTATCAATCAGATTTCGTTATTTCCACATGTGTGCGCCTCGCAAACCCGAAAGCATCATAAGATTCGTAGACAGCAATAGACTAAAAGCTACACATCCCTTCTCCTTTCGTCGTAAATGGATCGAGCGGAAAGGGGAGATGTGTCAAGCGAATATTTTTTTGTTTAATTGGTCAAACCAATAAGAGGTTTAAATAAACCTCAACCGCACAAATGTGCCAATATCCAGTGAAATTTGATATAACTCGAACAACAGAACATTAAATTTTTTGATCTATTTATTTTTCTATGGTTTCCGTACGTTCTGGGTCAAAGCGAGTAGTTACTCTATAAAAATGAAACAACAATAGCCCAACGGAAGGTCCGCAGTTTTAAAATAGCTAGATTCATGATAAAAATACTTACACCTCGTGACGTAACACCGGTCAACTCATTCTGTTCTTGTTCTCTGCGTATCATCGCTATCTTTTGAGACACTATTGACGCCATATCCTATAAAAACACATAACATAAGAATCAGTGGCTTCAACCAAGAAGAATTTTTAATATTTCGTCTTCAATAAGTTCAATTGGTTTTCTAAGTAGGTCAAAATGATATCTTTTACTGAATCTCAGTGCCATCTAAAACAGAATACTTACAATTTTCGGTGGATCGATCCCTGGTGGGTAAGCTTGGGGCCCAGGGGCGGGAAGCGCTGGGATATTCACAACTGACGTCAACTCTGATGGAAAAAAACATAAGATTTTAAACTCGCGCGCTCCATTTTAACTAAAATTGCAAGACACGGGTCTCAAAGCGAGACGTTTATCAATGATTCACACTATGTACTCACGGCTTGACGTTTCGGCTGCTATGCTAGTCTGTTTGTGCCCACGGCTACAGCATAGCAGCCGAAACGTCAAGCCGTGAGTGAGAGAGATATTGAGGGCTATAGTTTTAGCGCTCACCAGTTGGCGCCACTGTAGAATAAGTATCGGCGCAAATGGACCACCGACCACAGCCACCGGTGGCCAGCGACGGCAACTTAACACACTTTTTAATATATTTTGTAGAGACGCACCGCACACGTGGACCACTCGCTACAGTAGTGTCTGCAACTCGATACTATACAAAAAGTGTGTTAATTCGCCGTCGCTGGCCACCGGTGGCTGTGGTTGGTGGCCCATTTGCGCCGAGCCTAAGGTCACTGTCATATGATAGCGAAGACAGTGGCGCCAATTGGTGTGCGCTGAAGCGGTTGGAACTATCGCATTTGGATGGGATGGCGTCACTGTAGTAGGGTCATGTGAATCGCAAGTGGTGGCAAAATGTTAAGTATAAAACGATAGTTAACTAGACTAGCAGCTAGTCAGTTAGCTAATTGCAAAGGAATTCTATTCTTTTATCTCTCAAAATTTTCCCCTAGTGCACTTAGTAAACTTGGCCTTCACTAATTAGGTTTTTGGCGGTCAAGCTGTAGATCCTGGCTATACAGGAGTTGGAGCGGTGAGAACGAGAGATTGAAACTGTCCTATTTATCTTAAAAATAGTCCTATTAATTATTAAATCATTTGTAAATGTAGATAATATTACAAATAGGTGTTTTCATCTTAATACTTACGCGAGCCGGACGTAAAACTCTTCATATAAGATGGAGTGGTCGTAGGAGTGGGCGGCGCTGGTAGTGCTAGGGGCCCAGACGACCTATTGACAAAAATATAAATGAAAACTTGTAAATAATAAATTGAGTAGTAATACACTATACTCGGCGCAAAGACTCGTGGCAGGCGGTGTAATATTAAACAGTGCATATCACATTTTCTCGCACTCACACTGGTTATGGGTGACGTCACACAGTGGCAGGCATAGCGTTGTTTATAATAACTTATAATAAAAAAATGGCGAGTGTGCATCTCTGATTCAAAAATAACTTTTGATATGAAGTGTTGGTACAGTTTTAAAAAAATCCAGGTCAGAATTAGTCATGACACTAATTTTAAAATCTATTTTATTCACTTTAGTTGCTAGTAATTAATTATTCGTTAATATTAACAACACAAGTTGGACCAATAAAACTGCTGTAATGCTTAATACATGGGTTTTGGATTCTGTTTTTAATAGTTCTTATTTATTTATTGTGTACTTACTTTGATGAAGTTGTAGTAAGTTCTGCTGGAGCTATAGCTGGAATATCAGCCTTGTGTGATTTCGATGAATTGAGTTTTGCCACTTGCTGAAAATAACAAAAACTTTTATTATTATTTTAAGCTAAAAAATATGTTGTTTGTCATATACATTTTTATTTAGCAACAATGAAAGAAATATACACATATTGACCGCGAGGAACTCCTAGATTAACGCACTTCGATGCGGGCAGCGGAGAACCATGGAAACCCTCGTGGGAGGCCTTTTTATAACATTAGATGCCTTTCAGTGCAAAAGGAACACGTAGCAATAGTTAAATAACTATGTACTTATACATAAGTATTTATATGTATGATTGGAACCCTCAAGGAAAACGCAAACGTCAACCACGTTTGCGTTTACCTTGGGTTCCCCAAGCAAACTTGGCGGCTTACTGTAGCAGACTAGGCGAAGAAAATCGGCAAGACTTGGAGCAAGATCAAACGCGAAGCTCAAGACCGCACGCGGTGGAGGACTGTTGTGGACATTTATTTATTTATTTATTAGGTACACCAACGATAGGTACAACAATACACAATATGTAAAAAAATACGCAAAATATTAAGCTAATTGCACTATCACTTAAAGGTATACACAGCTTGCAAGAAATATAAGTTGCTGCTTAGTTAGCATAAATGTTGTTATATAAGTTAAATTATTATTATATAGAGTCGGTTGCTGTAGCCTTGAATTTGGGTAGGGACATGAAATGCACGTCCAGGGGACCACTACATTTATTGTAGATCTTACAGATCCGACTTATAGGAGAGTTGGCTCCTAGAACAGTTTTTCGAAAGGGGCGGGAGAGAGGTTCAATGGGTTTACGTGGTATTCGTAATGGGACTTTGAAGTTAAACTTCGCTAGCAAGGTAGGACTACGCACATGATGTCTAATAATTTTGTAAAAGAAAGAAAGATCAAGTAGGTCTCTACGACGTTCTAGGCTTTTTATTTCATAGACATAGGACCTTAAGTCAAGTAAGTCATTTAAATGTATGTGTTTACCATGTCTTTCTTGGGTGGTGATACTGGAACCCATTCTGATGCTTTCTCCCTGTGCTGAGAACCCGAGGATACAGGGAATTGCAATCGAAGTTCTTCTTTGTTGGCCACGGGCAGAGTTGACGACTTGATCGGTAGCGGGGCAGCACCCTATGAAAATACACATAAATAAAGTACAAATAGATCAATCACGCTATTTACATTTGAATGGAGGCTCTGGACTATCTTAGTGAACTTAAACATTGAAATTACTTTTCTTTGCTACCAAAGTTTAGTAAAAGTAAGGTATTTAGATCACTTGAATCAAGGTTAGATTAATAGACTTTTCAGCCTTAATCTTGCTTCAATTTTAATGGCCTTAGATCCCGTTTGACATTTATAGCTTAAGCATGCTCATCTTTTTTTCTTTACTTAATTAATTAGAAAGGTTTATCATTCTTAGCCAAAAATTATACAGTTGTTGCAATTCTCAGTTGAAAACTTACCCTAATATTAAGTACAATAGGTGCTTTCTCCTTAACAAGGAAGGGATGGTGGAATGCCAGAGTATCTTCGTTCTCGCTCATATCGTCGTCGTGCGATGAAACAGAAGACAGCTCCCCAAGTGCCTCTTTCTTTGATAGATGTTTGCAGAAGTCTGTTAACTCGTCTACTGATTTACCTGTACAAAATTAAATTGGGAATAAATGCATTATAAGTAACAGTAACACATATTATAACAGTCACAACAAAAGAACGAAGTATAATTAGATGCGGGGTATCGTGAAAATCAACGACACGAAATCGCAACGTGCCAGACGAATGTCACGACGAAACGTCGATACGGTGCCACATAGTCATAGTAATTATTTAGTTGAATTCTGATGTTCTTTCTGCTCCTTGAGTTTTTCCTTTCTCCTCCTCTTCCTAGCACGACGACTTTGCCTGATTACGCGTAGCAAATCTGCACCTTCAGCGCTTTTACACAGTTTGCTCAAGTCGCGTCAAACAAGGGCGCTGGTGACAGAGACGGGAGACCCGCGGTCTTTACTTAGTCCTGTCTTTGTTTCGCACACTAACTGATGCTTAAACATTGCCTGAAGTAAAGAAACGGTTTTCTCTCTCGTCTCGCTAGCGGCGCGATTGCGCGAACCGCCGTTTTAATTTTTTTTAAAGCTCCAGAATGTGCCATCTTTCTGTTCTGCCGCACAATTTATAAACGCAGTAAG